ACAAAAAAATGGCTCAGATCCAGTTAATTCACTTTTAGCATAGGTGAAGTCACTACTCCAGCATGTCTAGTTGTCCTCACAACAGGTAATCCCATCTGAACAGCAGAAACTCTGCTCATTAGACTCTTCCCTCAGCACCAACTTCAGCTGAGACATAATCTGAGGCATTCAGCCACTATTCCATTGTATAGAATAAAGAATTGTGAGCTGAATTTCTTAGTTTAGTATTCTTCTGCTTGCCAATTACTAATGCCAGTAGTGTCCTAAACGTAGCGACCTGGGTTACAAATCAAAATCCTACAGCTTTTATCACTAAAACAGCCACCAATCCAATCTTCAATTATATATCTCCAAGGATAGTCCCTTCTGCTTCACAGTTTAATTGGGCATGGACAAACATAAAATTATTTTAGAACAATGATAAAGTCAGGTAAAAATAATTACTTCTAATATGAGATGACAAGGTGGAGAGTGACCTGAACTAGAAATATGAAACCTGCATGGGGCATTACCAACACTGATCAGCTGGATGACTAAGGGTTTCCACTGAATAGAAACCACATGTGTTAATCACATGTGCCCTGTCTATCAAAGTTCTAGAGCAATGTGAGATGCATTAAGAGAAAGTTCATGATTTCCTAGGCAGCACCTTTGCATATATATAGCAGTACAGTAAAAGTTGCAGAGAAGATTAAAGACTTGAAAGGGATGGGATGGAGAAAATCATATAACACTTCCGATTCTGAAATTCTGTAACTGAACCAATGTGACTGTACAGTTCAGAGTAAAGGTGAGAGGATGGTCCTCTTTTGTGCCCTACATGGGTAAAAACACACTTGGACACTGTTCACATGTGAAGTGCATATTTTTATTAGGTTCCCTGACGAACTAACAAAATCCAAAGAAAGAGATCCCACAGAGAACCACATCATATGAAGAATACTTGAAGGACTTTATGTCTACCTGAAAAATCGGGTTTAGGAAACAAAGAGTTATTTACAAATACTTCCAAGCTGTTCTTAAAAGTGTAAAAATTGCCTGGCATTACTAAGTACTCAAAGTCCAGTTCAAGGCACAACAAATCATTCATTTATTCAGTAAACATTATTCTGTACCTCCTTAGAGGGAAGTCCTGTGTATGTCTAGGCCACATGGATAAGTAATGAAAAGTCTAGGAGCAGAGATACGCACATGAATAACCAACTAAACATAATACAAGGGAGCGTATGAGAGGTGTCATGTGGGTAGAACAAAACCTACTTCAAATTCAAAAGCAGGAATCAAAAAAAAACAACAACAACAAACAAAAGCAGGAATCACTATGTCCTGATATCAGGATCAGAGAAGGCGACATTGATTCAGGACTGAAAGGTGTATACTATTCGTATGAGAATAAACATATTAGGAGGTCACTGAAGGTGGTGGGAAAGCAGAAGCAAAAGTTTAGAAGTGGGAACAGGTTAGAAAAATATAGTAGAACAAAGCTGAAGAACAGAAGAGCCTGAGTTAAGCAACCATAGGTGTAGAAATATCAGGTACTGGGGAGTAAGACAGGAAGGGTGCCAAATAGTACAGAGCATGTACTCCAGGCTACAGACAGTGACTATGTATGGGTATCATTAAAGGTTCTAGAATACACAGTGGTGTGTGTGTGTGTGTGGCTTTCCTGTTGTTTTTATTCCTGGTATAGATTAGAGGCAAACACAAGAAAGGCAGGAGGCTTGCACAAGGGTTAGTCAGGAGGAAATGACATTCTGAAGCAGGTTACAGGCAGGTAGCAGTGGGAATGGACGGAGGAAAGAGACTCATGAGATATTTCAGAAACTGAACCATCAGGCCCCAGACCTGAACTGTCAAATCTAAAGGACTATGGAAAGAGCAGAAACCCCAGCTAGAGGAGGAACTGACTGAGAGGCAGAAGTGGCTGAATTAATATGAAAGCACAGCACTATTGCCCAGTTGAGTGGGTAGGACAGGACCAGGAAATGTTCTACATCTTGCTCCAAGCACTTCTCAATCCTTGCCCAACTCATGATCACACCCCTTCAGAGGCTGCTCACCAAGGAAATGCCCAAAGTCAAATGCAGAACCAATCCTATACTTCAAAACACAAACTTGTAGAAAAAGAGATCAGATCTGTGTTTACCAGAGGAAGAGGGTAGGGGGAAATGGGAACTGGATGAAGGGAGTCAAAAAGTATAAACTTCCAGTTATAAGATAAATAAGTACCAGGGATATAATGTATAACATGATAAATATAATTAAGGTTGCTGTATGTTATATATGAAAGCTGTTAAGAGAATAAATTCTAAGAGTTCTCATGACAAGTAATAAAAATGTTTTTTCTATTTCTTTAATGTTGCATCTCTGAAGGAGGCCATGGCAACCCATTCCAGTACTCTTGCCTGGAGAATCCCATGGACAGAGGAGCCTGGCAGGCTACAGTCTGTAGCCTTGGAGAGAGTCGGACATGACTGAAGCAACTTAGGACACAATGTTGTATCTCAATGAGATGATGGATATTCATTAGACTTATTGTGGTTAATAGTTTCATGATGTGTTTAAGTCAAATCATTATACATCCCAAACTTATACAGTGTGTGCTGTATGTTAATTACATACCAATAAAAATGGAAGAAGGAAAAAAAAATAGAGCCAATCTCATCTAAGAGAAGCTTTACTAGCTACACAGTTCAGTTCTCCATGAAGGCCAGGGTAGCTTCAGGGTTAGAGAACCCCTCAGTAAGATCCTCAAACAGAACATCTGAAAAGTACCTTCTAGTCCTAAGCCTGCCACTGGTTAACCTCTTGAAACCTTAAATGATGACCCTCCTAAGTCTCAATTGCTTTACTGTAAGATGGGAGTGATAATGTATACCCCACCTACTTCACAGGTTTGTGGGATTACACAGGAAGAGACGGAATGCTGCAAAGCACACAAATGCCAGGGGTCATTAGAAGTTCTTTGAGGTCATAAACTACAACAAATTCATGTTTGTATCCTACATAGAGCTGACTATGGAAAGAGGGAGGGAGCAAGGTGGAAAAGAAAATACCATAGTCTGGGCCCCACAGGCAGCCTGGTGTTAGCCAAGGAATATACTGCCTACCATATCTTCAAGAAGATCCTACATCCAGAGAAACAGATGAGAATAATTGTCCACATCTACCTCCTCGTTTAACTGATGGGAAGCTTCACCCTGAAAGAGGCCCAATGATCTGCCCAATATCTTTAGTAGCAGAGGGTCCAAGAATAGGACCAATAACACAGTCACAGGTTAGATGGTGTTTTCACCCACATTATCTTACAAGCAGACTTTGAGCTGGGTGGGAAGGATTATTAAAATTCCCATTTTCCAGTCTGAAGTTGAATGACTTTTCTAGGGCAGGATTAAAATCCAGACAGTCGTACCCCCAGTTCACTGCTCTTTCCCTGTTGATATTAGCACAATCATCTCAGCATTCAGTATATTTCAGACTCGCAGTTCTGTTTTATTTTATCCTGCCTTCAGCAGTATTTCACATTCAGTCTTTCCTGGTAGAATTCTACTGACCTTTTGTCTTAAAATAAAAAATAAATAAATTAATTAATTAAAAAAAAAAAAAAACCTTACCTAGCCCTTATTATTACAGATGCATACTGAAGTATGTAGGGGTGAAGTGAATGAAATCTGGAATTTAGTTTTAAATATTTCAGAAAAAAGGAAGAGAAAAATTAAAGAAAATAAGAAAATGGCCAAATGAAAAAAATGTGGGGAAAACTGGTAGTCGTTAAATCTGGGGAATGTACTACCATTCATTGTACTCTACTTCTGTATTTCTTGAAATGTTTTCATCATAAAAATAAATATAATATATAGCCTTTCAAAAAAAAAAAAAATCCAGTTCAGTGGCCACACTGGGCACCAGAAACAGTTTTAAAACTGAATCATCAAAACTGAGCCTCCCATGTATCATAAATCATTTTCCAAAGTGTATCCCCACATGTGTATCATTCCATAAGTATGAATAATGTATGTATCATTATTATACTAAACACATTGACCTAGGGTGCTCAAAGAGCACTGATGGCTAATTGAAGCAGTATTTATCACATAAATACCAAGAAGGCAGTTTTAACAAATGGGTGGAACAATGAGATTGAAAACTTACTGACTTTATCAATGAAAACTGATTTGCATTCACAGAAGGACCTCAAAGTGAAGTGAGCAACAGGGAAAATGATCAGGATAATTCTAGTCAGCTACATTCAAAAGATCTGAACCCGAATGCGTTTTCTATTTAAGGAGGTCCAGGGAAGACGCAGGGGTGGGAGGAATGATAAAAAGAATTAACCTTGCCACCGTCTCAATGTCCTGTCTTTCCACCATAACCCTTATTTCAGGAAGAAGGCATGCATGTTTTGCTCCCCTTTTTTAACTCATGGAAGAGGATTAAAACTGCTCAGTCTCCCGGGGCTTGCAGAGGTTTCTGAGTGGGTTTCACCAGGGATGGGGCGACACCTCCAGGCAGCACTTCCACGGGACAGGCCAGGGAGCAGGACTGTGCAGAGGCCCTCTACTGTGGCCCGCACCTCGGCACCCCGTACCCCAGTGTCTTGGCAGCAGTTTCTGCTGGAAAGCACCGGCCTCCCTTCCTCCTGTTCCCTCTCCTTTCTAGTCGCGTCAGTTACGACACAACTTGCCACCTTGCCCGCGGTCAGCATCGGGTAACAGATCCTAACCTCCAGGGAGCCCTCGGTGTAGGGTTCAACAGACTTGGCAATTGCCTGGTGAAGACACCTGCCCCACAGCCTACCCCGGCCCCGCCAGACGCGGCGGACCCGAGGGCTGCGAGCGCTGCGCTTTAGGGATGCCCGTTACAGAGCAGCACCCAAGGCAGCGAGGTTCACACCCAAGGCCATGCTAGGGCTGCTGTGAGGGGTCGGGGGAGACTAGGCCCCAGACAACGCCCCCACCCTCCATTAATAAAAGGCAAGATTTTAAAAAAGCGTCATTTACCGACATGAGTGATCACTGTGGCCAGTCGCCGTGTGAACTCCTGAGGGGCCATTTCTTCTTTTAACCAAAACAGCATTTCACCGAAAAACCACTCGGTATAAACAAAACAAAGCAACACAAAGCTGTTTCTATCGCTGCTATGAATGACTATTTAACGGCATCTCCTCCAAAGGATGTTCGGCCCTCACACTCTTTCTCGCTCTCCTAAGGCACAAAACGAGAGTCACTCCCAGTCAAGGCCAACTCTCCACCGCCGCGCGGCTAGAGGACGTCAGCCACGCCCCGCAGGGGGTAAATTTAAAGAATCGGTTGAGCAACTCTCCCAACGCGACGACTGCCGTTGGGAGACAGAAAAGTAGCAGTTCCGAAGGAGAGAAGAGCACGTCGCCCCAGTCTCGCCGTAACCCTGCTTCTGGCTTCCTGGGTCGCGGGGGGTGAATAGGTTTCTGGATCTGAGGTCCGATCTTTGGCTCTGCCTCCTGGGAGGGTCGGGATGAAGTACACTCTGTCAGCCCACAAGAGGCGCGCGGACTCGGCGGTTGCGGAGGACTGCGGAGCTGAGGTTCTGAGGGACCTGGAGGCGTGCTCCGCGCCGCCTACGCCGCCTCACCGCGCGCCGCAGCGCTTCCCGCCTCCGCGCGCACCTTTCCCCGCCCGGGGGGCGGTGCCCGACGCGCCCGGAGAGGTGCGCACGCGCGTGTCCTTATTCAGGGGATGATGTGCCCAACTCCCCTAAGTGTTAGTTGCTCATTGGTGTCCGACTCTGCAACCCCATGAACTGTAAGCCACCAGGCTCCTCCGTCCATAGCATTCTCCAGGAAAGAATACTGGAGTGGGTTGCCATTTCCTTCTCCAGGGGATCTTCCAGATCGGAAGATGGAACCCAGGTCTCTTGCATTGCAGGCAGATTCCTTACTGTCTGAGCCACTAGGAACCTATCTTGAATCGTCCCTTAAGACTGGGGGCGATTCAAGACCTGTCCTCAGCTGTCGGGGAGAGGAGACAGCGACTTCAGTTTGGTACCCCGCTCTACTCCCACCCCCATCCTACACCCCGCCCCCTCTCCTGGTATCTTTGGCGAAGCCCAGGCAAGAAAGGGACTGGCAGGAAGTTCTGCGGCCGCCCGCCGGTGCTCTGGGAGAAGGGCTGTATGAGGTACATTTGACCGTCCCATCTCGTGACTCCGGGGACCCAGGGGTGGCTAGAGTTTGTTTCCCCTTGTTAGGGGTGGTCTCGTTCAGTTATCAGCGTCCACCGGACACACTCGCATCTGGAGCCGGGATCGCGGGCTGTGCGGCAGCTGGGCTCGGCAGGTGGGTACGACTCCACCGTGTGGGCCTTTTCCTTTGTGCAGCTCGCCAGCGCTGCACCAGCCAACAGTCAGGCGCGCCAGCGCTCCCTCCAGGAAAGGCTCTGGCACAGCGTCCTTGCGAATCCTACCTGTCAGCCGCAGGAGCGTCTTCTCCGCACCTATCCAGTGGTAGATGCCGTCGCAGGGCTTCATTAGGTGGCTCCAGATACTACCTGACAGAGTAACCTAATTAAGAAGCCCACGTGAAAAGCCTGAGCAAATGCAAATCTGGCCAGGTTGTCCTCCCAATCCATTCTTAAAAGGAGGGACCGGGTAGCGAGAGTGCCAGGATCACCCTCAGGTTCTGAGCCAATTCTGGAAAGCTCAGGTTTCCTCTTTTTTATGTAAAAAGCCGGACCCCAAACACCTTGGATGAAATTTCTAGTAATAGCTCCTCAACCCTGGCGTTTGGAGACGTTCTTCAATGCTTTCTGCTAACAGTTGTGGGCTGTGATTAAGAGATGGTGTTAAGCCACATGCAAAGTGAAATTTGTGCAGAGGTTCTTTCCTCCTATGACTAGGTTCTTTGCACTTTGCCTGCACAAGTAGAGCAACCATTTTCATAGCAACCCCTTGCAAGAAATTCAGAGAGGGGTTAAAGAACCAAAGGAGTAATATAGCTTTAGGTTGTGTTTCCACAGTAGTTTCTGGCTCTTCAAGGGTGAAAAGTAGTTTTGAGGAACCAGATGAAGGCTTTCCTGTTGGTACTAATAGTATCTGGTGCCCAGTCAGAGCCAACTGTGAACTGGTCCCTAGAAAGCAACATATTGTTGAGGAGACTGATAATGTGGGACTTTCTGAAATTTGCAGATTCAGTGACCTCAGCTTCTTGGATTAAGTCAGGTTCTTAATCACAGATGGAAGGGAACAGAGAAGGGAAGAGTAAGGAGAAGCTTATGAATAGGAATGAGAGAAAAAAGAAATAGGAAAGAAAGAAATCACACTCAGAAGGCAGCTCTCCTTCCCCCATCTGTACCTTCACAATCTTCAGGGGTTTCCATGGGGATGAATTGGCTGACTTACAGCAAGATGTAACAGGCAGTGTCTGTCCTCAGAAACCAGTTCTGTCCCCTCATCTTTAACACACACTCTCTCTGGGGCATCAGCTACTCTACCTGGGCCATAAGGGAGTAGGTCTGTGATCCCCAAGGTCCCTTTTGCAGTTCTGAAATTGTATAACTAAGCAGAAATGAGCATAGCTTTCAATAGCCCATACCTCCTTGTTCCTTCAAGAAAACAGTCATTATCTCCATTTTTCTTGTGAATATGGACAGGCTTCCTGTCTTCTCTCCTCCACAGCCCTCCTCCATTCTGTGCCTCTTTTTATCTATCCTAATTATGATTTATCTCTTGTTGCTGACAAATTACATTGCTCTAATGACTTCCCTGGTGGCTCAGACAGTAAAGCATGTGCCTACAGAGCGGGAGTCCTGGGTTCGATCCCTGGGTCAGGAAGATCTCCTGGAGAAGGGAATGGCAACCCCACTCTGGTATTCTTGCCCACCCACCCCCCAAAAAAGGGGGCTCCAAGAAATGTATGGAAAAATCAAGGAATAAGTCAGAATAGCCTGCCTTCCTCTCTACTGAACAAATTAATAATCAGTCACATCTATTGAATATCAATTATATGCCAAAGGTTGCGATGTGCTTGGTCGCTCAGTCATATCTGACTCTTTGCAATCCCATGAACTGTAGCCCATCAGGCTCCTCTGTCCATAGGGATTCTCCAGGCAAGAACACTGGAGTGGGTTGCCATGCCCTCCTCCAGGGGATCTTCCCAACCCAGGGATTGAGCCCAGGTCTCCTGCATTGCAGATTCTTTACCATCTGAGCCACCAGGGAAGCCCATGAATACTGGGTAGGTATCCTATCCCTTCTCTGGGGAATGTTCCCAAGCCAGGGATCAAACTGGGGTCTCCTGCATTGCAAGCGGATTCTTTACCAGTTGTGATAGGCAGTGTCAATTACAGCAGCTATCACCACCATATAGTAAGTGACTGCTCTGTGCCACCTGGTATGATGGCAGGCATTTCACAAACATCATTTAAGCCCCACAGTAACCCTGTATGACTTTGGTCTCATTTTGTAGATGCTGTTGGTATAAGAACCAAAGTGTGTATCACTAAACATATGAATCTAGACCATTCTCTGCCTTCAGGTAAGGATTTGCCTGAGCTTAGAAGACAAATCATCCTCCAAGCACTACCAAAGTAGATTCTACCTCCCTTTTGGTGGATTGTCAGCAATGCCTCTGACAATGAAGAAAAAGTCAAAGGATCCACCCTGGGTGCCACAAGTGAGGTGAGGTACCTGGTTTAGTCAAAATCAGTGGTTCTCAAACTAGCAGAATCACCTGGAAATATAGATGAATTTTTTAAAAATACAAACTCCTAGTCCTTGCCTCCAGGGATTCTGATTCAGTAGTGTGGGATAAGATCTGAGAATGTGCATTTCTAACACATACCCAGGATTACTGATGCTGCTGGTCCTGGGACCACACAGTGAGCACCACTGACTACAGCAAAGCTCTTCAAACTTCTTAGACTACATACCATAGCATGATATAAATTTTACTGCATGATACAGCAGACATAAATATACATAATTAAAACAAAATGAAAACAATTGTTGTATGGAACAACTTTTTCCCCTCAGAAAATTAACTCAAAATGAATTACTGACCTAAATGTAAAACACCAAACAATAAAATTCCCATAACAGTTTTCATTCCAATCCCAAAGAAGGGCAATGCCAAAGAATGTTCAAACTACCATGTATCTGCACTCATTTCACATGCTTACGAGGTAAAGTTCAAAATCCTTCAAGCTAGCCTTCAACAGTACATGAACTGAGAACTTCCAGATGTACAAGCTGGATTTAGAAAAGACAGAGAAACCAGAGATCAAATTGGCAACATTCACTGGGCCATAGAGAAAGCAAGGGAATTCCAGAAAAACATGTACTTCTGCTTCATTGACTATGTGGATCACAACAAACTGTGGAAAATTCTTAAAGATGGGAATACCAGACCACCTTACTCGTCTCCTGAGAAACCTGTATGCAGGTCAAGAAGCAACAGTTAGAACTGGACATGGAACAACAACAGCCTGGTTCAAAATTGGGAAAGGAGTACATCAAGGCTGTATACTATCACCCTACTCATTTAACTTCTATGCAGAGTATATTGTGCAAAATGCCAGGTTGGATGAATGACAAGCTGGAATCAAGATTGCTAGGAGAAATATCAACAACCTCAGATATGCAGATGATACCACTCTAATGGCAGAAATTGAAGAGGAAATAAAGAGCCTCTTGATGAAGGTGAAAGAGGACAGTGAGAAAGCTGGCTTAAAACTCAACGTTCAAAAAATTAAGATTATGGCATCCCGTCCCATCACTTAATGACAAATAGAAGGGGGGAAAGTGGAAACAGTGGCAGATTTTATTTTCTTGGGTTCCCAAATTACTGTGGATGGTGACAGCAGCCATGAAATTCAAAGATGTTGCTCCTTGGAAGGAAAGCTATGACAGACCTAGACAGTGTATTAAAAAGCAAAGACATCACTTTGCCAACTAAGGTCTGTATAGTCACAGCTATGTATGGTAGTCATACCAGTAGTCATATACGAATATGAGAGTTGGGCCATAAAGAAGGCTCAGCACCAAAGAATTGATGCTTTCAACTTGTGGTGCTGGAGAAGACGTTTGAGAGTCCCCTGGACAGCAAGGAAATCAAACTAGTAAATCTGAAAGGAAATCAACCCTGAATATTCATTGAAATGGCTGATGCTGAAACTGGAGCTCCAATACTTTGGCCACCTGATTCAAAGACCCGACTCACTGGAAAAGACCCTGATGCTGGGAAAGACTGAGTGCAGGAGAAGCGGGCAGCAGAGGATGAGATGGTTGGATAGCATCACCGACTCAGTGGACATGAATTTGAGCTAACTCCAGGAGATGGTGAAGGACAGGGAAGCCAGGTGTACTGCAGTCCATGGGGTTGCAAAGAGTCGGACATGACTTAGCAAATGAACAACAACAAACAACATAACATAGGAGAAAATCTAGGTTAACCCAGGATTTGGTGAAGACTTTCTAGGTACAATACCAAAGGTATGTACCATGAAAGAAAAACTTGATAAGATAGACTTCATTAAAATGAAGCTTTTCTGCTGTGTGAAAGATACTATTAAGAGAATAAAAGGAGAAGTTATGGGTTGATAGTAAATATGTATGAAAAATATAACCCTCTGTTAAAAAAAGGGGGGGCTATTATCTAAACCATACAAAGAACTCTTTTAAAAAAAAAGGACTGTTAAAATACAAGAACTCTTAAATCTCAATAGTAAGAGTATAACCTGATTTTTTTTAAGTGGGGGAAGGGTTAAGCTCTATCTTATGCTCATTATTGCTGTAAAAATAGTCTACAAACTTGCAACTAGAAGACTAGTAAGTTCTAGAGATCTAATGCACTGCATTAGTGATTATAGTCAACAATACTGTATCATGTACTTCAAAGTTGCTAGGAGAGTAGATCTTAAATGTCCCATCAAAAAAGAAATCATAATTATGTGACATGAAAGAGGTGTTGGCTAATCCTATGACAGTAATCATATTGCAATACATAAAGGTATCAAATCAATAGGTTGTACAATTTATACAATGCTATGTGTCAATTATATCTCAATTTTTTAAATGTGACATTACAGAAAAAACAAGTTTATCTTAAAATTCTGTAATTTCAATTTTGAGACGATTAACAGGAGGATTTGTTTTAAATACATGTTTTTCACATTTGGGGAAACATTATAAAATGTATTTTTCATACCCCACACCCTTTTATATCAGGACATTCCCCCTTTCTTCTTCCCCTCAGAAAACTCTATAAGATTAAGGGTCATGTAAGGGCTCTTCGCCCTGAAGCCCATGAGAGAAAAAGAACCCCATAAACCACAGAAAGAAATATCCATGGGGCACTCAGGTAGCCTAAAAGGTCTGAGAACAGCAGGCCCTACCCTAGTTGGATCCCACCCGAAGGAACGAACGAAGCAGCGACCCCTAGGGGCACGCAGCCATCTCCAGCACTGCGGCTCTACTCTCTTCTTTGATTGGTTTTAGCGGTGACGCCTCCTCCTGAATGCCTCGCTCGGATTGGCCTACTTCTTGGATCAGACTGGACGGTGGCCAGCGGAGGACAAGAGACTTCTATACGGTCTGGAGGGAGGGACGGTTTAGGTCACATCCGAGATGCGGTTGCACATCAACAAGCGTCCAGGCTCCGGGGACATGGCGGCGGCCTCTGTGGTGTCGGTGCTGCTGATGGCGGCTGAGAGAAACTGGTGGCAGCGAGTCCAGAGCCCGCTGTTGCTGCTGCTGCCGCCCAGGCAACGGTGGGTGGAAAGGAGGCTCTGTTCCTGCCCAGGGATGGGGGCGGGGGGTGTTGGCCCTCCTGAGCGGCGCGAGTTGCGGGGGTTCGGGAGGCTCGGTAGAATCTGCTTGTCAGCGGATTCTGCTTTCAGCCGCACCCGTGAGAAGTCCTCCTCCACCCAGCCCTCCCCTTTCTTCCCCTTCTCTAGATTCACTCTTCAACCTGCCCTTTGCCTTAGTTTCTCCGGTTAGGGGCAGGAGTGGGGGGAATGGAACTGGGCCTACCATCCTCCAGGCCCTCCTACCTATGGGGGGCAAGAATAGGGTTGACAGATTTAGCTATAAAAATACAAGATGCTAGCTGAAATTTAAATTTCAGATAACAGTTTTTATTGTAAATGTCTCCGATATCAAATCAAAGTAAAAATATAAAACAATATTTGTAAATTGTCTGAAGCTTAACTGGGCGTCCTGTTTTTTATCTGGCCAAGCAAGGATAATCCAATCCTAAGCAAGAATAACATTTATACAACCTCCTAACCATTTACAGTGTCCTTTCTTAGCACTCCTAATCCGTGTTCTGATGAAGCCCAAAAGGTCTAACACAAGATTATGCAACTAGTAAGTAATGGGGCCAGAACACTTCAAAAGCCATTTCAGTTCTGCTGGCCCTCTCAGATGTGCATTTCAAAGGAGGAGTCCCGGAGAGCTCTTTTAAATTGTTAGAATGAACATAACAAAAGCACATTTATCTTTCAGAGGGCCTGGAAAGTTGTTTTATATTTAGGTTCTTTGCTGTGGCATTTACCTTATATTTAAGGGAAGAGACTGTATTAAATTGTCAAGGAATATTGACTTACTGTGTGATGATGAAAGTATATTATATATGTATTAAATCACAATGGCCCATCATTTGACTTTGATATCAGTGGATAAGGTTATATTCATGCAAGAGAGCCATACATCATTGCATAGGTAATGATTAAGGCGATGAAGGGTATTCTGGAATGAGACACACCTGTGTTCAAAACCTAGATTTCACACTTCGATGGCAGTAGGCAAGTTACATAATCTTTCTGGGCCTCCATCTCCTCTTCTTTAAAGTAGAAATGATAATAATTGTATCCACTTAATAGAATTGTTGTATTAAATTCTTGTCAAGTGCCTGGGACATTTAAATTTATTAATTTTATTTATGATTAACCATTACACTTTAACTTTTAGAAAATGTGAATTTTTGGCATAAATTATTAGATAATAAGTATTTTAATTTGTTTTAAGTTGAAAAAAGACAAGTAATTAAGAATATAATGAATATTGTGAGTTTCAGTGCAAAGAAACGTACTATTCAATAATAGTTAAAGCAGATCTTTTAGACCATAATATACCAATTTTACCAAATCACAAATCTGTAAGCCAGGCTAATATAATAAAAATTTATATTTTAGTCTCAGAAATTGTTCCCCATGTATAATCTTACATGCTTTAATATTCATTGTGTTATAAACAGGAAGAAACATTAGCACTCTCCAAGGGAAAGAAAATGACTATAGGGTGAGAAATAAAGCCAAAAAATAGGTTTATGGTCAGTGGCTGTTTATGGTGAGGTAGGCTTAGTATGTTTTAAAAACCAAATGTCAAGCTTTGTAGGAGTTTTATATTTCTTTTTATTTCCTTAGTGTTTACATGTTAACATAGTTCACTTACAAACTATTCTCTAAAATTCCTCTTGGGAACTTTCCCCAGTTTTCCTCCAGAAAAACCTTTCCACCGCCTTGAAGAGAATGTGGAATTATGAAAATTAAAGGTCTAATCTTAGCAACTATTGACTGTTACCTGAGTGGTAGTAAACAAGTCATTTAACATTTCTGAGCCTTGGTTTATCTCTAAAATCATAACTACCAAAAACCTGTTCCACCATCCCCAAGGTTTATAAATGCTATCAATTATTACTAGCTGTCACCCACCAGAGAAAACTTCAACCAGGGATGAATCCAACCATTTGTATTCTTTGTGCCTGTAGCAATCCTCCTCAAAGGGCTACAGAAATTTGCACACTGGAAAGACTTGTAATAAAATAAATTCATGGTAGTCCACTTCACCTGGGCTTTCAACAGACCAAGAAATTAAAGTTTTCTTTCTTTTATGAGAGGCAGGATCTATGCCCTTTTTGTTATTGTTGTTAAGTTTAAATGCAATTTTGCAACATGAAAACTGCGGTCTCTGTAATTAATTAGAAATCTTTGTCATTCGTGATACATCTGTTGCTTGCTATCTGTTTTCAAAGCTTATTGCTATATTAGCTCTAACATAAAGCTTTTTTTAACAAAGCTATAGGCTTTATTAAAATCAAGTCTGCCAATTAAAAAACAATGAGAGAAAAACTCAAGGCTGTATAAGTTTCCTATTGGAAAGATACTTAATTTTGAAGTGAATGATAATCAGTGAATACATATCAGAACAATTTGCCATGGATCTATAAATATAGAGCTTGTTTCCCTACTTATGTGTCTTGTACATAAAAGAATAATGTAGAAAATGTTTGTTTGTGTTCTTTAATTATTTAGCTGGTATATGTAGGGAACTGAGGATCCCAAGTTTGAAAGGGCACAAAAATCTAAAATTAAAAATGAGATGCTTAAAAGGATTTTATCTTGAAGCAGTTTGATTTGTCTGCCTTGTAAGCTTGGAAGTGATTCTACATTGTGCTACATAAAAACTGTTTGCAGACCAGAATTTTAAACTAAATATAAACAGTTTAACATTTAGCCATGTGCTTTGAAAGTCTTGTGTTGGAGGCTTTATTTGCAAAACATAATAATTTAAGCTTTTGACTTTTAGGTCCAAAAGATACTTCTAGCGCTTGGATACTACCTGGGAGCAACTTGTCATGCCTGCATTGTATGGAACAGGTGTTCAAAATAAAATGCAAAAACTGTAAGCTGATGGAAGAGGCAGCACACAGCATCCCTGGTACTCCAGGGAGAACATTTGATATAGAGGATATCTTTGTATTGGCATATTTTTCCTAGGGCATTTTTAAACCAGTGATATTTAGGGTATGGGAAGGAAAATAATTATCCTAATTGTCTAAGCCAGTTGCCATGCATGAATATCTAGAAATGATGCTAAGACTTTTCTTTAATAGGCTTTATTTTTTAGAACAGTTTTAAGTTTACAGGAAAATTGGGATGAGAGTTCCAGGTTCCTATATTGTTAACAACTTACATTAGTTTGGCACATTTGTTAAAATTAATGAACCATCATTGACACATTATTAATTATTTTTTTAATTAATTTATTTATTTATACATTATTAATTAAAGTACAGAATCTATTCAGGCTTCCTTAGTTTTCACCTAGTGTCCTTTTTCTGTTCCAGGATCCTGTTCAGGATACCATCTGACATTTAATTATGTTTCCTTAAGCTCTTCTTGCCTGTAACAGTTATTCAAATTCCTCTCCCCCCCACCACCATTTTTTTTTTTTTTGTGACCTTCACCATTTTGAGAAGCACTGGTCAGATAGTTAGTAGGATGCACTTGTATTGGAATTTGTCTGATGTTTTTCTCAAGATTAGACTGTAGTTAGGGGGTCTTGAGGAGGAAGACCACACAGGTAAAATACCATTTTCATTTCATTCTGTCAAAGGGTTTTACTATTGATGTTGACCTTGATCATGTGGCTGAGATAGAGTTTGTCAGATTTCTTCATGTAAACTTCTTCTTCCCTCCCCGATCCTTCTGTACTGTGGTCTCTGGAAGGAAGTCTCTATGCACAACCCACTCTTTTAAGTAAAACTTTCTTTCACTTTTCCCAAATGGACCAAGATGCTTATTTTGGATGAAGCTGATAAAAAATATTGAGCCAAAGGATTAAATGTCAAATCCATGAGTTTTACCAAAAATCAAATACAAGGACTCAGGTGTGCATGTCATTTTTTGCAGAGGGCAGGTTGGAATAACTGTTGCAATATAGCTGTGAAGTGCTATATTGTCCTTTCCCCTGCCAAAAGCAATTGTTTCCTACAATCTCTGTCTCACTCAGTTCTGTAGTAAGACAGGGACGCTTGGTCTCAAACATTATTCCTTTAAGTATTATTATGAAAACTGTTATAGTTGATACGTCATCATAATTCATCATTGTCTCTTTTTTAAGGTTGTGTCCCTTTCTGTCTTAATGCCAATCAATATTGGCTGAAGTCCTCAAAAAGTTCCTGAGGGATCCATTTCAAATTCTAGTGAAGAAAGAACTGATCTTTGAAAGGTATATATTATTGTATCTTATAATGATTTTGAAATAATGTTTTTCTAATTAATGTACATAAAAATTATAGCCAGGATTTTTTTTTTTACCTTCTTATTTAAGCTCTGTGCTAAAATTGCAGTAACTAGTATCTGCAGTGTCTTAGTGATTGTAATAAAGCTAACAGAGTAAACACAAGGAGAAAAACAACCATACCAGATAGTAGAAAAACTGCAGGTAACTAACTCCAGGGTATTTTGTTCTAAAATTTGGTACAGTAATATCAGTATTTTGGCAGAATTAAAAGAATGAATTTCTCATGGGTTCCTTCCAATGGTAGAGGTAAGAGTGAGAAGTCAAATGGCTTTTTATTCTGACTCTGATCTGAATTAACATTTTCCTCTCTGAAATACTGTAAGGAAGGAATTGTATGCTGTCTATGACATACGAGGGACCAGCCAGTACACAGGCTGTTCTTTTTAAGGACTCAAGGCAAAGGGTAGACTGGATCTGAGAAAACACAGGTCAGGATTTCAGTCTCTTATGTGGCAGGATCTGTTCTTCCCTGGTATTGCTACTTAAGACACTGTTAATATCTCATTATTTCCTTAATAAACTGAAGCAGGATCTAATTACAACGTAGCTGAGAAGTGCTGCATTGTCTTTGCCCCCTGCTCAAAATAAGACTGTTTCCTTTCAAGTCCTGTCTGCTGTGGCACCCAGGAATGCGTGGTTTCATACACATTTACCAATTTAAACTCTGACTCAACAAATGACTCCTGAGAGTTAAGGCTTATTAATATTTTTCAGGTGCTGACAGAAAGAAAGAGGCATTACCAAGAGGGAACTCCTTGATAAGGTACAAACCACATTTTGATACTGACTTACTGGTATTTA